TGTGTGTGTGTGTGTGTGTGCACTATTTTGTCCCATAATTGTTATCGAAAGAACCATGTTAGAAATGCTTTCTCTTTACTACAATAATTGGTCGAGAAAAAAGTCAAACATTTTGGCACACCTTAAACTTCAGCTTGTACTGTGATAGGAGAACAGTATACTGAAGCCTGCTGAACATTTTATTTATACCCTTAATCGGCCACTGCACCCTGTTGACTCGGCCGTGAGAGGAGAAGCTGTCCGAACAAAGGACGGGAGGAAGGCATAAAAGTGCGTACTGCGCTGGCTACCGGGGATGCACATTCTTCTGATAATGATTTGGCATAGTTTCTTCTGCAGTCTCCCCTCGTAAATCCTGCACTGTGTTGTTCTCGTCCCGTGGTCTTTGCCTTCGCCCAGGTCTTTCTGTCACTCTTGTGTTCTTACGAGGAAAAATATTGAGCGGGGTGTTGGTTCACGCGCTGTAGATTGTTGCTTTGTTTGTTATGAGCTCGACTAGACACAATATATTATTTTGAAGATGGAGTGCTTGTCCAGAGCTTTTCCTTCAGGGCAATTGAGCTTGGAGAAAATTAGGTGGAAACGAAGAGAAAGACGATGAAGAGCGTTCGGAGTCTAGTCTTTACCGTGTGCGAGGTTGTGATACTGAAACAATTTGGCAGTATGCACCGCTAACTAATATAGAAGATGTGTGACTTCAGTTCTAGTGTATAGTAGTCTATTTTATTCGAAGGCTTTATGGTCATTTGCAAGCCATGTGCGAGCATCGATGATACGTTCAAATAAATTGCTGTGTCATCACTCAACGACGTACAGTTAGTTTGAGAAACCTCACAGAACCAACATAAACAGCATGCAAGAAAAAGGAAAGAGAGAGCAGCAAATAAACTTCAAAGTTGCAAGAATAGTATTCCAGTGATACATTTACTCGTGTGATTTATCATCTGTTTCTTTTTTATACTGGCTTCCTTTTTTTGTCAGTCTCATTCTTGTCTTCTGTCCATTAGTGTGGATTGCCTTAGCAGTTTTTGAATATGTGTATTTGTATGTATACATGTGTGTATGGGTGCGTTGGAAAACAAAGGCGCAAAGAAGAGAGAGGGGGGAATGAGAGAGAGAGAGAGGGAGAGAG